CGTTTTGCTAGAGCTACAGATCCTGCAAGAAGACATACAACTCATGGTAGGATGAAGAGGCCAGCTCTGAGGCTTTCTTGTCTGGGTGCCCTTGGAAAACCGAGCACAGACAGCAACACAAATCAAGACACATGAGAGGAGAGCAGGTGGAACCACCTTTGTAGAAGAGGCTCAAATTAACAAATAATAAATAAATAAATAACTCCTGAAAAGTATAATTATATTATCAGAAAAAGTATCTCATGTAGAGTGGATTAGAATTTGAGGACCATGAAAATGCTTATTGTAGAATACATAGCCTTTATCTTATTTTTCTTAATTAAAGCACATATCATTTCTACATGCACAATTGTCCTGTATTGACGGCTGGGGGCGGGGGGTGTTGATGCAGCCTACAGAGGTGACCAGTCAATACTCCAGGGTTCCTGGATTGCAGCACGAATGAAGCATAGTGCAGATCTGCTTTCAAACTTATGTAAACTTCAACTTAGTGGTAGAAAAGTTAGGAAATATAAATGTTTTATTGCATCCTATGTTGGCTTTAGTGCCTCTGTACACCTTCTACTGATTCTCACCAACTCCATTCTCATCACCTTGGTCTAAAGTTCCCATCATCTCCCCATGGGCTATTGCAGCAGTGCCTGCAGTGTGGTCATGGCTGGAACACCAACCTTAGAATCACCAGCAGGAGTAGGCAGGGTGCTTTTTATCCAATCTGTAGATTCCTGGGCCTCCCACCAGATCTACTGGGCCGAAATAACTATAGGCTGATCCAAGGAATCTGCGTTTGTCCCCGGCTATCCAGGAGATTCTTATCAACTATGATATTTGCAAAACACTGTAGCAGTATATTTTCTTGATTCATTTAAAAAAATCTACATGTAGAGGGATTATTTTTCTCTCTCATTGTACCACCTGGTTAAGAGACTCAGATGAGACATTAATTTCAGGAGAACACCAGGCTTTATTGACACCCCAGATGTTTGCATCTGGGTAATAGAAACATTTATAGCACCATTAGGAAAATAATATTCTTATAAATGCCAGCCTGTGATTAAACGGTAATAATGAATCTTTATACATTTTATGTGAAATTTTTATCTCATTATTCAGAAAAATCAAGCAGACTAAAACCAGAATTCTATGCCCCCAAATTAACTTAAAGCATCCAAAGGAAATCCTATACTATTACAGAGGAGGAGATTGACCCAGAGAGATTGGGAAATTATAACATAGGTCTCAGTTGTCAGATTCAGAATCCAGATGTTTTAAAGAAAGCCCAGGGCTTTATCCATTGGAACATCTGTCTCTTTTACTGCCTGCCTTCCCTCCCCCTCTTCCTCTCCTTGTATCAGAAGCACATTCTGACTTCAACTCTTCTTCATCACTGCCCAGATGATGAATGATATTTTGCTTTCATTCCCAGTTTTTCTTTAGTGTTTAGAATTTACATTCAAGACCTTGACTTTCTATGGAGGATTTTTCTTAGTCTTCTAAGTCACAGGTTGTTTAGAAAACAAACAAGCAAACAAAAAACTTGATTACTCCTCTCAGCACTATAAATAGTTTATAGCAAGTGGAAACAAAAACCCCACCTTTTTTCTTAAACATAATTCTGTTAGTACTTGGATAGGAGATAAACTAAGTTTTGAGCAAAAGTATTTCTTTGTCAGCTTCTTTTCTGTGACCTTGCAGCTTATAGTCTACCTTCAAGAAAACAGTTTATATATGACATTAAATCTCTTGAAACACATCATTAAGTAGCATATTACAATCATTATGAACACAAAAGAAATAACTGTTGTCATATGGAAGAAAAGATTTCACAGGGAACAAGTGCCTTCGGCATTGGAAATGTGATTACTTATAGCTCAGTCAAGATATCTTTTTCTGTCTCCCTAAAGTGGAATTACCTGACGCATTTAATATCTTTATTTGGATAGCAAGGGATTATGAATGACAGTGACTTCCTGAAATACAAATAGAGAAATAGGCACCTAAAGTCAAATCTCTGGTATGATGTTCATTTAACAGAATTCAACTTGAATGACCTGAGTATTTTACTGATGACATTCTAAATCTATAGACCCTCAATAAATTTAATCCCATATTAGAAACTAGGTAACACAGCACAAACATTAAGCCGAATCTTTTAAAAGTGGGCATAAGCTTAAAATGAATGACTCCATTTCCCAGATTTAAATCTTTATGCCCTCTTTTCTTTAAATCTGAGTTTGACTGGAGTTGTCATTTAAAAAAATTTACTCAACTTAGTTCAAAATGTCTTAGTTGGGTTAACAATGTTTATCATATCTTTTAAAATTTAAAATTCAGATATTAAATGTAATAAGTTTCAAGAATATTAAATATTCACTGTATAACATCAAACTTTCCCCTGACAATTTTCTATGATTTTTATTTTTCATTCAAGAACATCTAAAGGAAACAGATTGTTTCATATTATACTTCTTAATATTTAACCTGAAATGAAGTTTATTCCATAGGTAACAGTTCCCTAAAGGTTTTCATTACATCATCATGTGTTTATAACTTCTTGTTAGAAAAGGTGCCAGACCATATTATGAAAAATGTCTGGTGTGTGGAAACAGGATAGAAAAACAGTTAAAAATGTAAACTAAGGAGTCAGACTAACAACTATCCTTAACTCTTGCATTTTCCGTCTGCTATCTGGAAGATTTGGGGCAGATTCTTAAACTCTCTATACCCTCATTTTAATAGTTTTGGCTTAAAAAAGGTTTTTGGAAGGATGAAATGAGCTAATGCATTTAAGGTGTTTAGAACGGTGCTAGGCAGAGTTGACTAGACGAATATTACCACTATTATTAATATGCGAATATAACTTTTATTATTATACAGTGTAATAATTGTTATATTGCACTCTATATCATTATTTTAGTAGGCTCTTGGTAACTATAGAATAAAGATGATATTGAAATATTTCAAGTTCGAATTTGATTACATTGAAATAAACAGAGCACTTTAACTATATAAAGTGTTAGTAAAGACTTTAAATTGCTTTTCGTTTTTATCTAATTCCTTTTCCTGAAAGGCGGCTGAGAATTATAAAGCCTGGCCTGGGCAGAGGAGATCTCTTAGGGTGGGGGCTGGGAGAATAGAGTCTCTTTCCAGACTTTGAGTTCAGAGAAAAAAGTCAAAAATGGGAGGAGGAGAAAATCAAGCTCAGTAAGTCAGAGAATGAAACCACCAAAGGGGAGGCCCAGAAGACACGGAATTGGAGAGTGAGAATCAAGGGGTGAGAACAGAGAACAATGAGCCTGAAATCCTGGCGAATGCTGTTGCCCACAGCTAGTTTAGATTCCTGCGTAAGGAAGCCATATTTAAAATGCTGGGGACTGAATTTGGCAGTTAATACATTTCTTGTTTCTATTCCTGCTGCTTAGACTGTACCAAGCATAATTAGTAATTTTATTTTAGGATAAGCCACATATCCAAGATGATATACCCTACCTTTACAAATGAGTGGTATACATTTACAACCTCATGACAAAAAAAATTAAAAGCATCTCAGTAACAAAAAGATAAAACATTTAAATTTCCTCTGTCATCAACATATATACCAGAGTACAACGATGTGATAAAATCATTAACACAAATAGAGAACCAGAGGCTATGGCAGATACTGCATCTAATGATTTTTTAGGCCTCTCAGAATTTACTTGGGGGGGGGGTGTGAAATAAAGAAGCAAAAATAAAAGAACATTTGTCAAATCAATAAAATTGACTTGTATCTGAAATAAGGCATCTCTAGAAGATGATCCTCTTCTATATTGGCTTTATTCTAAAGGGGACATAGGAATTCTAGCTTGATCTTGCTCACAATGTGTTGCATATTCATCTTGTGCTACAGAATGCCATTTGCATAATGTGGGACCCAGTTCTGTGCGCAGAAACACCCTACAAGAAACTCAGATGAAGGCTCAAGAATACCAGAGCCTGCTTTTTTGAGCTCACCAAGAAGGCCAACCACACTTGCATTTCATTTCTCTTTGACAGGATTTCCTAAATTTGCTAAAGAAAATATTAACAGATCACATTCCATGGAAGCACCATTCCTTAGAGAATGTTTCTGCTTAAGATGTACACACACACACACACACACACACACACACACACACACACATCCATGCACATATATTTACTTGTACTTTCTTGACGCTGGTGGTGATATTTAACAACAACAGTTTTAACAAATGCAGTGTTTATATGAGGACGATGTGCAAACCCAAATAAGAGCATATTTAAACGCATTAGAGGATGTTACGCTATCACTCTTTGCTCAAGAGACAGTGAAAAGAAGCACCGTATCTAAGTCTTTTTTGCTTGGACATGTGGCAGAAATGAATTCTAACTGCATTATAATGTATGAATATAACACATCTGAGTGCAAATTAGATGTGGAGAGAAAATATTCCAGAAGAGATCATATGGCTGAAAAAATGCTCAACTGCCAATAAACATTACCATGAAATAGAAAGGCTATACATTCAAATGAAATATACATTTTAATATTATAAGTAGTTATTTTCCAGTAAAATATTTATATAATTTGAAGTATTATTTTAAAATACTCTCCTTTTTCTTTTCTCTATTTTTAGAATTCACATTGCTTCTTTCTAAAAATAATAATGTTTTATAAGAAACTTGCTAAGTGCATTTCTAAGTAGAAATACAAAAGATTATATTAAACCAACTCTTTCAAAATCCATCAATTTTCTGTGAAAATTTTTAAAAAATATGCCAGATCCACAATTCAGGATGTAATGTCATTATTCCTTTAGATATATTCCCATTACCAAACATTGAAAAATAAGAAATAAACAGCTTCTGCAACATTCTAATAAAGATCAAATACTAAAGCAAAAATGGCAGAAGCAATAGACATAGAACTTGTTTTCGTTGCTGCCATTGCTATTTTACACACATTGAACAAATGGCCAATATCTTTGCATGTTACTTACTGATGGGTAGAGGTAACCTTCTCCATTCATGGCTATATATAACCCTGTCTTCACTCCCTGGATGGCAACAACGCGCAGTCCCACTGGTATGAGGTTGAACAGTGCTAGAAAGATAAACATGGTCTTTCATGAACGGGCAGGAAGAAGGAAAACATAGCACAGTTTTCTTTTTTTTCTTTCATTTCTTTTACTTAAGAAACATAACTTTTGTTGATACTTTCTGAGAAGTTCCAATTAAATACTTTTTATTTCTCTTTATCATTAAAAGTTTCTGCTATGGGTGAAATTAGCACTTCAGCTTCAGTTTGTAAGTCTTCTTAGCAGCCTTTCCTACAGCATTCTGAAGAATTGGTGGGATAATAAACAGAAGCAAGCCTCTAATCATGACTCTAGTATCACAGTCTCTGACACCATTCGGTACCAAAAAACCAAAATCAACTGTGAGGATTCTCAAAGCACAAAACTTACAAAGTCCAAGTTGAATGTTTATCCTGACCCTTCATGCAGAAGGTGTGATTTGTCATTGCAATGTAATCAGACCAGAAGCTGAAAAGGTAATTTTAAAACTAAATTACTATTGCAGAACCAATATGATATGCCAGTAAAGCCAGGAAAAGATGTGCACCTGCCAATGGGCTAAATTTAGAAAGAACTACTCAAACTGAATAGCATGAAAATTTTAGAGAAACAATCCATTTATGTTTCCATGTTTTGTTTCCCCCCTTGTTGATAAATCATAAAGGTATTTCTCTATATTTTTGCATAGTGTAGATAGTAATGTTAGAATTGATTTTTAAAAATTTTAATATCCTTCTAATGCATTTCCGTGACAGTGTTACATGTTAACTAGTGAGTCTTCTAGCATCCTTCTTAGTGAGAACTGCTTGACAATTTTTGGAGATTTTATTATACATACAGTTATAAGAGAACTACTAATTATCCACATTGAGGTTATCTGCTCCCACTCAAGTCCTTCTTAACTCAAGTGTAATTCTAAGAAATAGGAGCAGGGCAGAACAGGTACTGAAAACACTAAAATGTGGAAGTATATGTACAAGTGAAGTATCTAACTTTAGACTCTGAACTGTGGTCCACGAAGACAAATCATTTGCAAAACGTGGGCAATTTTGATTTCATATTAAGGTCTACACAGTACATAATTAGAAATAGACTTTATAAATTGTGTTCTATTTAATTCTTAGGGACATGTTTTCTCTTGATAGGGTAAAATAAGTTATACTCTCTCTTCCAATTATTACCTGTTACTGTTCCTAAGATCTCAAGATGTCTGTACTATACAAATGGCAACAGGAAACAACAGGCCATAGCCATGGATAACTATCCCTGGAAGAATATTCAGGGGCATGACTGGTTAGTTGGATATTACCTTTCACTATGCAAGCTAACAGTAGACCCTCTTCTATTGGGCCCTAGGGGATTATGACATATACAGAAAAGAATGGGGTTTATTTTTGCTCATTTCTATGATTTAACATTAAATATGGGTATGGGGTTGTTGAGTACTAGAAGTTACCTGTGCCAATGTGACTCTCAGTAGTTCTTCCTTGTGGGAGAAGGTCATATTTACTCTTATTTAGAATAACTGAACTCTTCTGCCTCCCTTATATTTTGAAAAAGATGAGCACCATGGGACAAATCCTGATTTATGTGTAAAATATTTTTTGGGAAAAAATAACTGTATGCCTGTCCATGCAACCTGTTCTAACCTAGCTAATTCAAACTTAATTATTCTAACCTTTATGCCCCACTAGTGGTATTTGTAGGTGCCACATATTTGATATCGACCAGATGGTATAATTCTAGAAAGCAAATGAATTGTGAACTCACCAAAATAATGTGGTATGGGAAATTGAAAAATTATACAAGATAGTCTAAAATGGTCATACTAAAAAAAATGGTAGTAGTTTTTTTTTTTCAACCAAGATTTTGGTGGGAACCTGCATGATAAATAAGAAATATTAAAATTTACAAAATGATAATAGGAAGTGAAGCTCTATATCCACTATAACATGGAGAGCCATTTAGAGCTGACCATGATGGAACTGGTGCTAATTAAAACCACAGATGCCCACATTAATTGAAATGTCACTATATTTTTCTACCCTCTGTATTTTACATAATTATAATGTCACAAAGCCCAGAGGTGTAAGAATAATGAAGATGTTTGAGTGACTTTGTTTATTCTGTGGAACACTCTAGTTCTCCATATAACAAGAGATTTTCAACCCCAGGTGCACATTAAAACTAGCTGTGTTCATACAATAGGATGGCCAGGCTCAACTCCAAACCTATTAAATTACAATCTCTGGCAGTGGGTTTAGGGCATAAAGAATTTTTTAAAAATTTATTCCCTAAAATTTTTTGAAAAGCTCCTCAAATGTCCCTAACATACAGAACCATCAACCTAAAACCTGTGAGGTGGTGGTGACAGGTTTTAACAAATTTAACCCATCAAGTTACGAGGTTGAGAATTTCTAAGGTGAGAGGAATTTTAGGGGGGAGCTTTAAGCATCTGTATAGTCCTACTTTGCTTAAAGTATCTATTAAGTCTGGTAATAGGAACAATGAAGTTTAATAGCACAGAAAAAAATCCATGGCATCCCCCAAAACAAACTGGAGGAAAGAAAAAATAAGCTCTAACAAAATACCATAGTTCATGGTAATGCTGACAGAATTTTAAAGACATACATCTCTGAAAATGAGTGTGGTGAAGTCACCCAGGTACTCACTTCCTTTTATGAAAGATCTTCCTGGGGCATGTAGTAGCCAAAATCATAAGCAGTCAAGTTGCTACAGTTCTTCTCGCTAGGACCATTTATCCTTCATCTATGGTTGTCTTGCCATTTTTCCTTCCCAAAGATCCAGGGGAGATGAGGGGCAGCCAGGTTCACCTGCCAGTGGGCCTTTTACTCTCTTCTCAACTCATCTAAAATTTTTAGCAAAGACAGCTTGGCAGGATGGCTCTTATTTTTCCTCATTCTAAATGATCCCATATTTAGCAGTGGGAAATGTGTTGAACTCCAATCATGAATGTACAAGTCTTCTGTTTTGTGATTTGTTGACAATTGGAATGATATCTGGGTGAATTTTAGGTTATTTCTCATTATTTTTTCTATTTAGGGATGACTAATCCATAGTTTGTATTCGGGAAATTATCAAAAAATGGAAACATGTTTATGAATTATTACATCCTTATTATATCACCCTCCTCCTCAAACAAAAAGGGCTGTACTTTAATTAGGACCTGTCTGTCATCATTTCTAATGCACACCCCTGTTTTTAAATAACTCTTTTCAGTGCTTACATTTTTCCTAAGATTCATCAGACTACAATAATGAACCAGGGAAAAGAAAATATCTTAAAATTCATCCTAAAAAATAGTGTTTTTCAATTTTAAAAGGTGATAGGACACAAAAGTAGAGTTGATTAGTAATTCTTATTGCTTTTATAAATCTGCTACAATCCTGCCAATCTTTATTAAATTTTGTAGTCATACAATTTGTATAGTCTTTTGAGGAAAGAATATTTATCTCACACTCTTTTATTCTTTGTCTTTGCAAATGTTGAAATAAGTAACAAAAACTAACCTAGCTGGCTTACAGTGCACATCAAATGTAATATAATGTGTAAGAAAAGTTGTCGACCAGATCTTTGCATAAGAATTTGAATCTCTCAAGCGTGGGCATTATGATTTGTTCTTATTTGCCTTTGCAGGGGCTCCTGTTCCTGCTTCCTTCTCAAGACTGTTCCTCACCAGCATTTGAGGCGTCAGAGATTTCAAGAGTTACTCAGAGTTTCTTGCTCCTTCTAGAACAGATACACAACCAAAGGAAAAAGCCCCATGCATCTAGCAAACAGAAGGTTGAGTATTTTTTTGTAGCTCAGCTTTCCAGTTTAGTGCTTAAAAGTATTTGGATAATCAGACCTAACTATGTGTATGTGTGCATATAAACTTTCATAACCTAAAAACTATTGTGCTGCTTATTCAGTTCCGAAGCATTTTGCTTTTAAAAGACAATTTCTCAAATGATATTGATTCCTATCATTAAGGGTAACCAATTTGGTATTACAAACACACAAATACAATGAGAAAAGCTAGGTTAAAAAATCCATAACATCTTTGTTTGAAATAAATCATTTTTCCAAGCAGTCCAATAAAGCAGCATTTTCATAGAGGTATAATTTATTTCATCTCCTTAAAACTTTTGTCATAATATGGATGATGTCAGTCTCTAGTCTGATGAATCTTTCAGAGTGTCATAGCTCATATAGTGATCAGAGTTAGGGAAATCTGTAATAGTTCTTACATTCTGTGACACTCTGGCCAAAGAAAATCAGAGGACATCGAAGACATCAGAACTTAGGAATCTCTAAACTGCATGACCTCTGAAACTGCGAGACATAATGAAAAGGAAATGCCTCTTGTCAAAGAAAGGGTAAGCAGTTAAAGATGGGAAAGAAAATGAGCATATATACTTTTATTAGCTCGAACAACAAGAAACTGACATCTTTTGTAGGTCAAAGATGGTCAAGTACTGATAATTTTAAAAGATCCAAACTAATAACAAAATTTGAACAAGTAAACAATATCAGCCATAAAAATGCCTCCTCTTCTCTGCACCAGAATAGTTTTAGCTTCTTTTCTCACAAATTGAGAGGAAATAAAAATAAACCAATAAATAAATATAATAGGGAAAAATTTAAAAATAAAAAGCGTGATAAAAAGGAGAGCAAAGAGATTAGAAATTGAAAACGAAAAAATGTAGATCTGTTTTGTTTTGTTTTGTTTTGTTTTTTTGAGACAGAGTCTCACTCTCCTGTCCTGGCTAGAGTGCCATGGCGTTAGCCTAGCTCACAGCAACTTCAAACTCCTGGGCTCAAGCGATCCTCCTGCCTCAGCTCCTGGGTAGCTGGGACTACAAGCACATGCTACCATGCCCTGCCCGGCTAATTTTTTCTATTTTTGGTTGTTTGGCTAATTTATTTCTATTTAGAGTAGAGACAGGGTCTCACTTTTGCTCAGGCTGGTCTTGAACTCCTGAGCTCAAGCAATTCTCTCATCTTGGCTTCCCAGAGTGCTAGGATTACAGGCATGAGTCACCACACCCAGCCTAGATCTGTTTTATATCATTAGCTGCTCACAGAATCATTGTTACTGACCACTTGATTATTAGAATTTAAAAGAGAAAGTGCTTATAATTTGATTATGTATATTATTCAAACCCTCCCTCCTTTTCATGGAATGATGTTTATATGTGAAGAATAAAATATGAATGAATGAAAAGATTCATACCCACGCTTGATCCACCATATTTTAATTTTGTTTTCACTAACTCTCCTGAACAGTAAAAATTGTTTATTTTTTAACTAATATTCTAAATTGTAAAAAAATCAAATACCAATATAAACAGAAAATGGGAAAGGAAAAGACAGACAGTTGAGAAAAGAAGGACATCAGGCAGAGAAAATTTATATGTAAAGAAATGGCAAAAAAGAACACAAACATTAATACAATGGACAGTATGTGGCTTTCTAAGAAAAAAATTTATCATAGACACAATTCTATTAAGTAGTTAAACATGTTGTACAATGTATTTAAAGGTACACAACCTTCACATCCTCTCTCTAAGACAGATACTATCTTTTCTTGCTAAACGCAAAGAATTTTAAAAATTCAGTTTCTATTATTTGAAACAACTACTCCATGCAGCACTTGAATTTCCATAAGTATCGTTAAGATCTCTGGATGTTAATACATTGGATGTATTAACATCCAGAGATATGTGATCAATTTTTATCTGAATACACTAGTGTACTTGACTTTTATGTTAATGATAATAAAAGTAATGGCAAGTTGGGGAGTATGACAATTGCTTGAAAAAATATTATCATTATCTGTAACATCAAAAGTTCCTTTTGTTGCTCCATTAATATTTTCAGCCATGTGGTTTAAATAAAATCTTAAATGGCATTCTAGTCTGTGTCATTTATAACAATGAACTAACATAACCAAACAGTTGCAAATGTATCTTAAAAAGTCATTTAAATAGCAATGCATCTTCTACCAACTGTGTTAACTGGTGGCCTGAGGTTGTCACTTACTAGAATTAGTGCTGTCATCCTTGGTTCCATCGAGAGCTCCATCGGGGTGCATTTGCAAGTAGTAGCCTTGCCTGCAATATAACCTGGTCACTATACCCTTGAGCTGGGGATCTGAAAGACAAACATAGTTGTCATGAGCCTCACAGTGTGTCATGATACAGTTTCTTTTTCTTTGTGTTTCTTTTCCTTTTTTTTTTCCAGAGGAGAACATTTTATAGAAGTAGCACATTTTATTTTATGTCTTTCAGATTCCTCTATGTTTTACCAAACTTAACAGTATATTAACCATAGATGGTAAAGAAAATGCAGTAGTAAGCTGTAGACAGGCCATTTTATGAAACCAATATTGTGTATTTAAATCATTAGTTAAAACTATTAAACTAAGCTGTTAGTTTAGTTGTTAGTTTAAACTATATACGCATTAGTGTAAGCAATACTATCTATCATTCAAGATGGCAGTATGAGAGTTTTGCGAATTTGCAACTCTAAAAAACTTCATTAAAGGATTTTTAATGGAGTTTCCCTTTTACAAGTTGACAGGTTTCCCAAAAATGTAGAAAATCTGCATTTTTAAAACATTCAAACTAACATGTGAGACACAGTCTTGGAAAAAAGCCCCAATTTGGAGAGCATGCCCTTGATGTCCAAAGGGCCTTCCTAACATTCAGGGAAGCGTGTGTGGTGCGTAGACTAATCCACAGGAAAAGGGAAAACTCTACCTCCTAACTCAGGGTGAAGCACAGCAAACTTATGTGGTGCGGTCAGCTCTGAGGCAATAATCTAGACAAAGTAAACAGGTGAACCTACGAACTTATATATACAAAGGATAGTCAAATTATCCAATATAGAATCTGATCCTTGGTCAACAGGCATTGAGGCAGAGAGCACTGGGTGTTTATGAAAACAAAAAGGGAAATCACCTGGCAACAGATTTCTCATCTGATGATTCGTTGAAAAGATAACTACTCGAGGTACCCACCAGTGCTTCCCAAAGAGCCAGTTGTACCTTTGAAAATAAATATTTACATGTGGCTTTCAAAGGCCAGTGCCATCACGGGGCTAGATTTGATGTGGGACATCATAATCTTCACCATGGCAACTGGCACCTCTCTCCACAATAGCCGAATGGAACATGCAAATGTGACCGTGCTGTCAAAACAGTTGGACGCTACTGAATGATGAACCTGGCATCTTGCAATCGATAGAAAAACTGTGGGCTTGCAACCAGATGAACACAAAAAATACACAGGCAAAAAAAAAAAAAAAAAAAAAAAAAGCTGTTCAAAACCAGAATATCCTTAAGCTTTTGATTAGTCCTCAAAAAATTGCAAAGAAATGTCAATATCTGTTTCTAAGCACATCATGTATAACTAATAATTTGAAAAATGACTCCCTCCATTGCACATAGATTTGCATCGTACATGCTACGATATTGAAAAATAACCTCCCAGAAAGTAACGCGTGAACAGCACAGCATTGCAACATCAGTATGACTAAATATGTTAGAATATAGATGTTTTTAAAAGTCTGGGATTTTAAAAAGAAATATCTAAGTGACTGTTAGGATTGTGTTACATATGTTCCTTATTCTGCAATAATTAACTTCCAAAATCACATAATTCTAAGATGTACATTAGTGGGGAAGAAAATTACCATTGTGCTTTAGTCTGCCCATCACCCAGTAAGACTTGACTGAGCTATTAACCCTCTAAGTACTAAAGACTTCTTTTCATTATGCTTTTCACTAAAAATAAGTAGCATGGAAAAAGAAGAGAAACAAAGTAATTTTTTTTTTTATTTTATTTAAGGGAGAATTTCTTGATTGCCATGAAAAAATATTGAGAATTTTAGAGACTGATAATTCTTCTATAAAACCTCTGCGTTCTGACATCACTGATTTCTAAGCAACTCTATATTTTAGTTACCATACCTTCTGGGGTTGAATTAATTAAATCGGGCAGGACAGTGAGAAGACACCCACACACTCACCCCTGAGCTCTCTCACAGGGACACAGAGAGGGCCCTTTTGGACCACACCTCATTTCTGATGAAGAGTACAAATGAAACATGGAATCATTAATATGATTCTGAGTTCTCCTTTAATTTCAAGGAAATAAAAGCAAATTGATTTTGATTTATCTAGCTTCATATTATTTGGTATTTTTCTTTTTAGACATCATGACAATTTCTCAAGTAAGTGTAGGCACTATTCTATGCACACCCCATGATGAATTTGTTGAATCCTCACCACCAACCTTATTTAAAAGAAGCCCCATTTAAGGATGAGGAAATCAAGACACAAAGCAATTAAAGTAATTTGACAAACGGCACATAACTAATAAGCCCAAAGCTGAAGTTTGACTATGGACACTCAGCTCTAGATCCTGCCCACTTAAACTGCTATACTATGTGGCCTCCATAAATGGTATACTTGAACTAAAATGTCTAGAAAACAAAATAAATGCAAACCAATCTGTTTAAAACAACAACAAAAATGACTAGTACTTTGAAGATTAACCACAACCATGCCTAAGTACAAACCCTGCACCTCAGAGCTAAATCTGTGTTATCAAGCAATAACACAAAGGTTAGAAAGGATTGAATAACCTGAAAATCTCTTCTAAGATCCATCTCGCTTTGCCACTGGCCACATTTGTGACAAATATCTACCCCATGAAACCCTCACCAAAATTGCAAATCGGTACTGTACATTTAAAACGTTCTCCAGTACCATTTTTACTTTAATTGTTCCATCTCCACCATTTCCAGCCAACAGGTATTTCTACCCCTGACTTTACTATTTATGTTAACAGTATCAGTCCCCTAAGATCTACACCAGACTTGCCTTTTTTATCCCACCCAATGAGTTGCCCAGTTCCTATAGGTGTTTCTTCACAATGTCCCTCACTCTTTTCCCTTTTTCTCTTTTCACTGCCAGCCTCTCATTTCCTCTCCTAGGTGGTCTTCCCACTTGCAGTTTGCCTCTTACAATCCAGCAGATCTAGAAAAACGCAGTGGCTCTTCACAGGCCACTGAATTATGTACACGCCCTCCAGCAGCAGGGCCCTATCTTACCTGCTGGCCATGTTCACCGCTGCTCCTGCCCCATTCCCCGCATGTAGCCTCACCTGGGCCACTGTGAGTTACTCACAAACATTCCACAATCTCCCAGATTTATCCTATTCTCTTAGCCTTACTTGTCTCAAATACACCCACCTGCAAAAAAATCCCCCTTGCACATCTGTGTGGGGATGCACCTACACATTTTATATATATATATATACACACACAATGTGTATATATACATATATACTATATATATATGTATATATCTCACAAATTGGATCATAACTGTCATGGAGAGAGTCAAAATGTGTGATATTTAACCATCACATCTCCAGGGTCTAAATAAATAGGAGCTGTACATTAAATATTTGTTGAATGAGTACTGACAAGGGGGTAGTAAAATATCCAGTAATTTCATATATTGCTGATAAGAGTGAAAAATAGAACAACAATATAAAAACCCAAGATAGTAATTCAAGTAAAGCCTTAAAAGTGCCCACATGTTTGACGAGGTAATTGTACTTTCTATACCTCTAACTTAAAAATAAATTGTGTTATAAAGCTTTGTAGAATAACATGAGTGTATATAACATGAGCATGGTTATGTAAAAAATACTATCCATAGAGGGGGAAAAACATGAGAGAGAATACAGCAAAATGTTAAATATTATTGTATTTTGATGGAAATTGTAATATTTATTTTTCAACATTTTATTATTTGCACAATTTTCTATAATAACATGATAATTTTATAATGAATATGCAGATTTTAATAAAATCTATTAATACCTTTGAAAAATGAGCAAAAATAACATATCATACATATTTGCAAATAATATTGCATACACATATGCAAATTACCTAAAACACATATTACTACTGTATATTAACTGGTTGCCCAAGATTCTCAAGGATTCCATTTATTAGTCTATTTTTGTCAGACTAATAAATGTCAGATGTCCATAAAATCTCTGCTATGACACTTTATTATATATAAAGCTGGCCATTGTACAGGATGGCCATTTATAGCTTAACATCATGCTTTCAAATAATTAAAACATAGCAAAACCCAAAACATTTCCCTGAGGCTAAAAGTATGCAACCAAATAATAGTAGGAAAAAAAATATAGTAAGAAGAAATACATCAGTTATGTACTGTCGGACAAAAGTATGACTAAGTTTCTAGACCTGTGAATAGGAGGATATGATCTTTCAATTTCTCACACTATAGCAAATCTCAACTTTAGCCTAATACATACTGGACAAATCCCTTGCATGTAATATTCATGATACTGTCAGAGAAAATAGCCAAAAATGAACCAAGATCTCACATGGCTACTAGAATGAACAGAACACAGACTGAGCAGCAGCAATAGAAATGCATGACTCTAACAGAGTCCAAAATAGGGTGCCCCTCCCACAAGAAGAGTGCAAGGCAATGAATTGCAGTATGTGAAAACATTATATTAGAACTTTCTGTTTATTATCTCCAAAAGGGAGAATGAAATTAAGCTTTGCTGATTTTTTAACACACTAATGGATATATGTATTTTTAGTCGTTCACATGTTACATTAGGTCTTTATAGCACTTGATTCAGGTTGAGCATCCTGTAATTCTGAGGGGTGACACAATAACACTGGCTCTCAGTCACTCATTCTCAATTAGTGCTTTGTGATCTTGAAGTTTATGTGTTCCTGGCTAAGTAGACTTATAAGTTATATTATCTAGGTTAACTAAAGTTAGAAGCGTTTAGGGGGAAAAAATCCCAGAGAGATAATGTAGATTAAAAATGACACTAATAAAATAAGCAAAAGCAAACACTAAACAAATAGCAAAGATGACATTTTATTTTGCATGGATTATGTAGTTAAAAATAAATATGTAAACAACTAACAAATTGAAATAATGATCTATTCAGAAATAATATGAAGTCAGCCTGAAGAGTTTGAAAATATTAAGTCAACCTTAAATGTATCTACTATGACAAAAATAGAACCTCATCCTAAATTATAATGCTTGAATTATAAAACAGTGAAAATGTGTG